CTTTCGGCTACAAAAAGACCTATCGAGCCAATTTGACACGTGCTACGAGTACGTCAGGGATCACGGCGCTGACTTTGAAGACGTTTTCTGGAAGGTCAAGGGCATCAGCGTCTACCAGCTTGAGGATGCCGCTACCTCTACCAGCACCACTGTTTCCAGCACCACCAGCACCACCCAGACTGTGACCTCTGCTGAGCCTACCGTGACCGAGACTGCCTCTGAGACTGTATCCGAGGAGCCTACTTCCACCATCACCTCCGACTCTGAGGAGCCCACCGCTACCGAGACGGCTACTGAGACTGCCACCGAGTCTGCCGCCGAGTCTGCTACCGAGACTGCCTCCGAGACTGTTACTGAGACCACCTCCGAGTCTGCCACCGAGACTGTGGAGGTTACCACTACCAGCGAGACCGCCACCACCACTGACGGCCCTGAGCCAACCCTGACCACCGAGGCCCCCGAGACCACCACCACCGCCAGCCCCGGTGATGAGGATGAGGATGACGTCTGCTCGGATGACGAGGAGGAGACCACCACCACCGATATTGCTACTGCTACTGAGACCGAGACCGCTGAGCCTACTGGCGAGCCCACCGAGACTGCTGAGCCTTCCGCTGAGCCCACTGATGCTGAGACCACTGGCGTTGACCCTACCGAGACTGCCGTCCCCACCGAGACCGGTTCCGACGAGGTCACCACCACTGCCCAGGAGTTCACCACCTCGACCATCTTCGCCACCGAAACCTTCACTGTTACCTCGTGCGCTCCCAGCGTCACCTCTTGCCCCGGTCGCGTCGTGACCTCCGTTATCGCCATCGGCACCACCGTCTGCCCCGTCACTCCCACCGTCACCGCCACCCCTGAGCCTACCGAGACCGCCACTCTCCCTGACGGCTGGACCACCTCCACCGTCTACGCCACCGAAGTCATCACCGTCTCTTCCTGCCCTCCCACCGTTGTCGACTGCCCCAGCCGCGTCGTGACTTCCATCGTTGCCGTTGGCACCACCGTCTGCCCTATTGGTAGCGCCACCGTTCCGGGCGAGAGTGTTCCCACCGACGTCCCTACCGTCGGCGTGCCTGGCGAGGGTGTCCCCACTGACGGCATCCCCGTCGAGGGTGTCCCTACTGATGTCCCTACCGGCGGTGTTCCCACCGGTGGCATCCCCAACATCGACACCACCCTCACCACCCTCCTCACCTCGACCGGCACCAGGACCGTCACCCTCACCGGCGGTGTCGAGCAGTCCACCAGCGTTCCCCCCGTTGTCGTCCCCGTCCCCACCGGCGGTGCCCCCATCAACAGCGGAAACAACGGCACTTTTGTGCCCCAGCCCCCCACCAAGCCTGCGTATACCTACTCTCCTGAGGTTACGCTCCCCTTGGTGCCCATCAACGAGCAGATTCCCGCTCCTGGGCCTACCAAGCTCCCGATTGTTGAGGTGAACGGTGCGGGCAGGATGGTTGTTGGTGGGTTGATGGGTGTGGTTGCTGCTTTGGCGCTTGTGCTTTAAATTTGTTTTCTGATTTATTTTTTCATTGGATGAGTGGAGGAGATAGAGGAGCAAGTTTTAGAAATAATATAATTTCTTGGATAAGAATTTTTGGTTTTATTGTTTTTTTTGCATATGCATGTGTTAGCGTAGCGAGTTGTCTGTCTGTCTGAGTGTGTCTCTTTTGTATGTAAAGAAGTAAATTGAAGAAGGAAGATGGTAAAGAGGTTGAGCTTTGGAGATGATCCTGATCCTGGTGTTGATGGGTGTTTTTTTGTTGGCGTTTTGTGGGTCGGTTTATGCCTCTTTACTTACCTCCAGGTCCTTTATCCTCGTTGTTATACACCACAGCTACTACTTTTCAACTCGGAAGTTCTCACCCAGCTTGACATGTTGGCCCCCCAGACTCCTGATAGGACTTGTCCTAGACAGTGGTATCAATCGTGCAAGACTCTCAGAGTCCGACTCTTTGAAGGGGTATGTCATCCACCTGTCTCTGTTCTGTCCAAGCTAAGACACGCTGTTTACACAACCCTTTGTGCTCCATACATCTGAAACATACTCTTTGGCGTAGCACTCTTTCTCATCACCTACCTCCTCTCTCCTATTTACCTTCCCGACCTGTAACCTGGCTTACTTTAGTTTGGACTTCTTGACAAGTTACCAAGGCCCTCATTTCCTCTAAATGCGTCTTGCGAGGCTAGTTTAAGCTGTTATATAGGATGGTGATTATTTGTACATGCATCTTAATCAGCACACACTCTTGTTTGCGCATGGGCATGGATAAAGCCACCGTCATTTACCATAGTAGGATGCACAATGAGGACGTGTATATAAAAGCAGCACAATGTCTTCTATCTACTCTTGCAAAAACAAAATATACACACGGCTCAGAAGCAAACAGCCACCCTCATCCGGCCAGCGCTCACCCACCTTGAACAAAAAAAAAGCAAACGTATATCATGACTATGTATGACCCCCCTCACCTCATCCCATCTAAAACCCCCCCAGCAGTTTCTCAACCCCCCTACCCAGCCCTTTAAACCCCTCCCCCCTCGCCTCCCTCTCTCCAATCTCAATCACCTTGCCCACCAAATCCTTGTTCACCTCCTCACTAACCACACTATCCCTCCTGTACCCCTCGTGCCCCTTGACAAACTCCCTAATCCACCTCGCCGCCGTCCACAACTCCCCATTCGCCCTCTTCCTGATCAAGTCCAAATACCTCGCCAACTGACACCTGGTCGCCACGTCCACATTGACCGAGTCCAGATAACTCTCCACAAGCGGGATCAAACCCGGAAACTCCCCCTCCTCGTCGCCATTGATGACCTCGTTGACAGTCATGAGCTTGTACTCATCCTCCACCGGACCAACAGGCGACGGAGGGCGCGAGTTGGCCCTGCTGCCACCGCCACCAGAGCGGGGGGTGTTGGTGCCTGAGCCTGAGCCCCTCGACGGCCGGGAGGAGAAGAGGTTACGCCTAAACCAAAACTTCTCCTGAAGGACAGCATCCCGCTTGTGGGCGGTCTCCATGTTTTCGTCGACTTTGGTGATGGGGATGTAGAAATTGAGGTCAAACGACAAAATCACCCTCGTGATGAGGACCATAAAGACCGAAAAGGCCGCGTTTTCGAAATCGGTAATTTGAATCTCCATTGGGCGGAACTCTACCCTCCATCCGATGTTGTTGTCCGCTGGGGGAGGCTTGAAGCGCATGTGCTGCCAGTTGGTGCTTTGGATGTTCTCAAAGTGGTCCGTCTTGGAGAGGTCGAGGACTTCCAGGTCTTCGTTGAAGATGACGATGGGGTCGCGGATGAAGAGGTGAGCGAAGTGGGTGGCGAGGCGGTCGTCCATGCCGCCGTCGAGGAGCTGCTGCTTGATTTCGGGGTCGATGACTAGGTTGGGGTCGAGGTATTCTTCCCTCAGCCTGGGGTCTTCGGAGATGTAGGTCGAGTTGGAGGCATATCTCGACTTGGGAATACGCCAGCGGTCGTTTTGTAGAGGCTTCTCGCCTAATTCTTCGGCAGTGCGATCATCAACAGCTTTGCTGATCTGATTCCACCTCACATCGGTATCGGCGAGGAAACCCTTGTAGATTGGTGTGGCAGCCGTCAGCGCCAGGAGGATGGGGCCGAGGGGTGAGAGCTGGTCGTACATCTTTCTACCCTCGGTGATGTTCTTTGCTTGGAAGGTGATCTGAAGACAGCAAGAGCCCATGCCGAACGCCATGGCATCCATGTGAATAAAGTTGTCTGGCGCGGCGCCATTCCGGACGTCGTCGTCTTCGGGCCAGTTGTGAAGGTCGTAGTTGACAGTTGGGTCCTTCCACGGCCATGGCGTGTTCTCATCTCTGAACACAGGTACGTTGACCTGTACTTTGCGGCCACGCCGGGATCGAATGTTGGCAGCGAGCGTTGGGAAACGAATGTGAGGATTGGCGATTTCATCGGGGACAAATTGTGACCTCAGTTTGGGTCCCGAGACTGGATAATGGGGTTCAGTGAAAACGCCAGGGCTACCTATCCTGGGGAAGGTTGTCAAGGTGATTGGGTACTCATTAGGCAACATGTGATCCTTTGCAATGGCTCGCCTGCGTCGTGTTAGAAGAAGGATTCTTACTCGAGCTGACTGGTGTACATACCTCAACTTCATATCAGGCTCAACATGCAAGAGCTCCTTGAAGTCGATGCCCCATGGCTTACCAGGGGTCGCTTCGAGCATAAATCTGCCGAATTCGGGATGGAAGACTGGGGATGGATACTTGTCCCTATGACGGTTAGTACGGACGGTCTCCTCAACAAATCAAGCTTCTCTTACTTTGGTTTCGTCCCACCGGGGGAGGCAGGGGGCGTAACCTCCTTGGCCAGATCTTTGTCTCCAGCCAGAGCAGCGAGGATATCAGCCTGCCTCAAAGAGAGCAAAACCTTGGGGTCATCTTTGGAATATGTCACGACAAGGTACTCGACCTAGAAGTGTCTCAGCACCAGTCTACGAATCAGCACTCGAAGATAAACATACCTCGTCACCCCAAAGCATGGCATCTCTCTCCTTGACCTTGGCCTTATTCCATATCTCCAGCAATTGCTACAGGACAAAAGCAAGTGTTAGCTCGTCGCTGACCACCAAGGCCCCGGCTCTTCCCGAGATTTCCATGCAATTACAAGTGCCCTCACTCACCTTGATGCCCCAGGCCCTGACATGATGAGCCTTCGTCTTCGCCTCTGGCCAATCCAAGGCCGTTCCCAGCGCCCTTTGCAGAATATCAGCATGACGCCATACATAGACGAGAGCGAAGCGGTGTGGTGAGATGTGTATGTGTGGTGCGGGCAGGATATAAAACGGGCTATACGCACAAGAGACCCATGGTTTACGAAACGGAGGGTTGTCGTGATGTGCTGTTTAGTCACGAGTGAAATGCCGTCGCTTTCCGGCAAGATAAGGCTCCAAATGTTCCAACAAGATTGGATATTTCAGGGTCCAGCAAGCTGTAATACGTGTAAATCCGGATCCCTGAAAGGATGGTGTTGTGACCGAGAGAGACCGAAACAGAGGGTGTGCGTGATGAGTGTTGCAAAGTAGTGAAGAGAGATATCGAGCCAATGGCCGTCCAGCTCTCACACAACGTATTGGGCGGGAGTTCCAAAAAATTGGATAAGAGAAGAAGTTTCTCACTCTTCCACCTGCAACAACCTCGCTGATGCTATCACCAGAACGGGATGTGAGAGGCAAAGACAAGAGATGCCAACCCCCCTTTTTACCCCGGATTCCCTCTTTTTCAACCTTTCCCCTAACTCCTCCCCTCGCTGCTTCCAGAAATGCGCCTTCTCTATTTCCGGAACGATGGTGCTATGCAGTGCGTGAGCGTGAGCAAATGCGTGTAGATGGTTGCTTCCCCCCCTCCCCCAGTAACACACCCCACGTTCCAGTTCGCAGCCTTGCAGCTATTCGCTACCGCTTGGCGGGTTGTGGCAGCCGAATCAGAGTGTATGACGCTGCTGGCGTCTTGTTGGAGTATGCAGGTAGCAAAGGCGTCATCCAGAGCACGCAATCGTTCTCGGCTGCAACTGGGCCAAATCTGTTGGCAAAGGTTTGGGGGTCTGCTGTGAGATGTCGGAAGGCGGAAGACTTATTTGATCGTCGATGCGAGTGAGCGCTGATATAAAGAGTTGAAAAAATAAAAGCATGAAACTGGCGAGAAATGAGTTGAAAGTCACAAGTCGGGATATCCTGTCTTGGTTGTCAAGGGAGTTATGAGAGCAACAATTCCCCCTCTTTCGTTCCACGATCCGATGTTTATATAAGAATGTACCGAAGTTCAAACAATATATAAGCCCGCGGCAATAAAAATGAAGAGAAAAAACACAAGCCGTAGTTTCAGGGACCTGCTTTAAATTTTTCGCGTTGGCAGGCGGCAAAACCCCAACAAGGGGACTTTCTTCAAAAAGAACAATGGGGCTGGAACTACTACCGAGCGGACTACCTTTTTGGCATCCACTCTCGCACTCCCTGTCTCCCCGAAAAATGGACGAAAGAGTTCCGACAGCGGGGGATGCCAATTTTTTTTTCTACTCCCCTTCCAGACTCTGGAAACCGGGGAAATTCTCGAGACCCAGGTGTTGTTAAGCTTTGGCCCTGGTGGAGTCTGGAGAGACTGACACTTCCGTCCATCGGACGACCCAGAGAGAGCCATTCAGACGTTTGACAAAGTAAGCAGCAACTAAATAAACTGCGTGGAGCTGAATAATGACAACAACAAATTGTGTACTGCAAAGTAAACAACCGCTCGGCTATCTGCCCGACCTGGGCTGCTGTCTCCTCAGATCGGAGTCTTGTCTACAAGTGCTTAGAAATCCAAATCAACTCCCGATTGGGGTAGGTATGCGCGCATCTAATCGCTCGGAAACATCCCGTGGAAAACGTGTGTGTGCAACGTGCCAACGGCGACTGACATGGTAGGTGGGTTCGTCCGTCCCCCGGGTCCCAGAGAAGGTGTGATGGAATGTTTCTTATGCCATGGCTAGCCGTTGGGACGTTTCTTTGCTTCCATCAATTGACAGGAAACGACCTGCCTGTACTTCTTGGAGGGAATGACATCTCTCGGGTGACGGGCAGACCACCCCCCACAATCCGCAGAGAACAGGGAGTACTGCGGGGTTTTCTCTTTGCTTATCGATAAACAGAGGGGTAACTTCGTCAGCGAGATCGCGCATGTGAAAAGGCGGGGCATATCCCAGCTTAACCCTGAGATGGTTAGGGTTATTGCTGCATCTATTATCTGTGTGTTTACAAGAATAAATCTCAGGCTCTCCTTGTTCTTATCCCCGTCTGCAATTGAGATTGAGGCCTGGGCGCCCCTCGCCACTTCACCGACTGTCAAATGCCGGGCAACCCGGATGTTTCTTGCGATCTCATTTCAATCGGTGATCGTTGGAAAGTCGGTGCTTCGTGACAATCCAGATTCAACAAAATCACATACTTTGCTCGAGAAAGGCTACAGCAAAAGGGAGACAGTGGTGAAAAGGACTAATTTTCTGTAAACTCTTTATCCTTTTGTACATGTCCATCCCTCTCTTGTCTCTACCCTCCAAGCAATTACAGAAATGTCTCTACTATATATACACATCTTTCTGTCCCCCTCCTCATCATCTGTGCCGCCGGGTATCCCTTGATACTTTCCCACAAAAGAAAACGCCATATATGCTTACAATGACCTCCCTCCCTCCTCATGCCCTTTCTGCATGCGTATGCTCGCTATTGTACAATGTAATAAAAAGTGAAAGAAACGCTGATAACCACCCCTAAAAGAACCCCCCCCCCCCCCAAAAAAAAAAGGCTTGAACGCCCAGCCAAAACGACAAAGAAAAGAAACCTCATCTCTTGACAGTTTGTCCAAAGAAAATGCCATCTCATCATAACCAACATCTTCCTGTTACCTCACATTCAGAAACAAATCATCCCCCCTCCTCGTAGGCGTCAACTCAGGCACCCACCCCGGCGTAATTGGCGGCAGCTCATCCGGATCCTGCCTTTGCCAGTTTGTCCTCTGTGCCTTTTTCTGGTAGGAATCACCCGCGTTCGCCAGCGTCAACGCCGCTGCCCTGTCCGGACCTCGGCGTTTAGCCAGCAGCAAGGAGGACTGGCTGCTGTGGGCCGAATTTGAGCCCCCTGGATTGGACATGGCTACTGCGCTGTCGATGGGGGTTTGAGAAGAAGATGTTGCTCCTGCTGGGGAGGGGTAAGACGGGGGGATGTAAGGTTTGTATTGTTGTTGTTGTTGTTGTTGTTGTTGTTGTTGTTGTTGTGGTCGAGAGAGGTATTGTTGCGGGTAAGGGGGTTGGGAGTAAGGTGGGGGTTGGGAGTATTGTTGTGGTTGTTGAGGGCGGCGTTGTTGGGGTTGGAGGTATTGTTGTTGTTGTTGGGGGTAGGGCCGTTGCTGTTGCTGAGGATTTGGTCGTTGTTGTTGTTGTTGCGGCTGCTGGCGGGGATCATACGGTGGCCGAGTTTGCTGCGCAGGTCGGGGTTGGGATGATGATGGCCCTCCCCAGTATGAAGCTGGGTTTGACAACCTCTTCTGGCTGCGGAAATACTGGTCCTCAATGGTAGGTCCCCCGCGAGTGTCAGGGGATCCAGTCCTCATCTGCGCTGGATTGCGCACTGGCACTGGGTTGAGACTGGCGCCATATGTTGGCCGTTTGGGCCCTTGGGGAGCAGCTGGCATTGAATGCCCTGGGTGCCAGACATTGTACTGGTGTCCTCGCGGAAGCAAGTCTGATCCCCTGCTGCTTCTACTATTCCTATCGGCTCTCTCAGGAACAGGCGGTACCTGAGCAGCCTCGGTGCGTTTCCTGATCTTTGGGTAAGAGACAGGAGACTTCCCCGGCGAGATAGGCGTATTGGGCGATTCCACCACAGGCGACAAGTCCACTTGCATCTCATCCTCAATAACAGCGTCATCCTCATATGGTGACCGCACAGGTGTCTGTGCCCCTTCCTGAGAGTTCCTCCGATTAGCCCTCCTCATTGACCGCCTCTTGCTCCGATCGCCAGTCAGCTCCCGCCCTTCCCGCATCACATCAAAGTATGTATCCGGCTGCTTGCCCTGTTTCCTTCCCAACTCAGGAGAGCTGATGAGAGTCTCGGCAGTCTGCGAAGACCTATTGGCAGGATTTTGCCTCGAAACTTGCGGCTCGCGGCGTTGGTCCTTGAATGCGATGGGAGACCCGAGCATCTTCGCGCTTTCCTTGGAAGGAATTCTCAGAGGTGACACCAAGGCGTTTGGTGAAAACATCACGTAGGCATCCTTGGCCCTTTCAGCTCTCGTCTTGTGCAAGTCAGGGCTTGGGAGCTCGGCCTGAGCGAGAGGAACGGAAGCCTGCTGGGGCTTCGGCAGTGGAGGCACGGCCTTGTTCTTGTTGACAGAAGGCTCAGGCCTCTGTTCCGGTCTCTGCTCCGGCCTTTGCGACGGTGTATTCCGCAACACCCAATTGCCTCCCTTATCAGCAAAGTACATGGCTGTCGCAGACTGAGGATCGCTCGGTGGTGGCCTCCAGACAGAAGTCTTTGCTGTTTTCGCCGTCTCGACCTCTCCATCCTCGGCAAATTCGGTGACAACACTATCGGTCCGGCTGGCAGGAACTCGATACATGCGCTCTTGTGGTCGCGGAATAGCGAGAGTCAACGTCGGCTTCGGCGGGCTCCCTTGTGGTTGTGGTTGTGCCGGAGCAGGTGGGCTCAAAACCACCTTTGGAACACTATTCTGAGCCTGAACCTTCGGGGAAGCAGTGCGAGCTGGCTTCGGGGAAGGCACCATCGTAGCGTTCGCAAACAAAGATGCGTTCAAGCCGACACCAACACCTGGAACCCGTCTCTCCGAGTTGGCGTTGCTGACTGCCGGAGTAAGAGCCGGAGTCGAATTCCATCGTGGATCGTTGGGGTCCCTTTCCGCTGGAATCCGAGCCAACGGACTCGAAATTTGAAGACCAGGAAACACGCTGGCCCTTCCATTGTTTGGAGACTCTTTCATCTTTGCGAACCCAGAGTCACCCCCTTCCAGATCTCCATATCTTCTCCGCCGAATACACCTGGCCAGGAAGATCAGTCCAACTCCCAGCAGCACCATGGCAACGCATCCTACTACAATCCCAACAACCTGGCCGGTGCTCAAGGTTGGCTGAGGATTTGAAGCAACGGGGGGGGCGGTTGGTGTTGCTGAGGGGTCAGCGGGGATGAACGTCTCGTTCGGGTCGCTGGCCGTAGCAATTGGAGGTCGTGTTCGAGAAGCAAAGGTCGACGTGGTGCTTGCTGTTGTTGATGTCGCAGTGCCGGTGACTGATCTTGTCGGCGATGGTGTGGGTACAATCAGACCTCCTGTCCCAGTAGGCCGAATCAAGGTAGCTGTAAGAGTCTCGTGTGTCCTCGGCGCCGCCTTCGACACGCCCACACACATGTTATAAGCCGTCGTAGTCGTATCGCCTTCCCAAATGTCAGCAAACCAACACCGCCTATCCATTCGTAATGAACTCACTGGTAGAATCCCTCCCCTGACAAGACCCCAACTGACTTTCCCCAATTATACACGACACTGCACCCTCTCCCACCGTATACCCTGACAACCCTGTCTGCCGGCACAAACATTGCAGCGACGGCGAGTTCCCGCATATCCTCGAGTCGAAGTTCGCCGCAATAAACGACCGGAAACACTCCTGAGCGCACTGCGGCACAAAGTTGAGGATCTCTGACGTGACGTTCTTGGTTTGCTGCTGTTGGGCGTTGGCAAAGGTAAGCAGTGTCGTCCATAACGTGAGGCATAGTAAGAACAGCCTATATGCCATTCTCTGAAGCAACATCTGTATCCCCCTTCAAGTGTCAGCTTCTCCCCTCGACAAAGTTTCAGACCAGGACCATCATGGTTATGTAAAGTTACCCACCTCAAAAGGACCTTCAGTCCATCTGCATACTCCGCAACAAACCCTTTTCCAAACTTCTTCTTTTCGTCCGAACAAAGGTCCCCCCTTCTTCAACAATCTAGGTCCGCCAAGCAAAGCTTCGTGTAGGGAGGCCTATGGTTGTATAGCCAGCGGCGGGTTACCTCGGCGGCTGGGCGATGTGCAGGTGAGTTGTTGACAGGGCAGAAAGCGGCCGACCTGGTCTGGTCTCGGTGAGGGTGTGTAAACATTAAGGGTTGTTGAGGACGAAGGCCAGCATCTCTCTCATGTCGTATCCACGATAACACTGTAGGAGAGAGATAGAAACTAAGAAAAGATGATGATGACGATCATGAACAAAAAAACATGGGAAAGTCGTTCTCGTCCGAAGAAAAAACCAGAAACCAGAACCCCTCTCACGATACAACCTCGAAAAGGAAACAGAGAACAAAAACTTGAAACAAGAAGAATATGAGAAAAAAGAAAGTGATACAGGAGTGAGCGACTCGGGGATAAACCTGAAGAAAAGAAGAGAAGGGATCAAAAGAACAACGGTGTCACACACCACCACCTCGTTGTCATCTCATCGATCTCTCAACCGCGGCGGGTAGGATCACTCACACACACCATCCCCATATCAAGCGTGGCTTGACCCTAACCTCAACCAGGTTTGGTACACACCTACATACCTACCCATACCCTTGCTTGCCGCTGAGCGCCTGTTCCCTCCACTGCACGCCTGCCCGCGGGCTGCGCTTAATGATACCGCCCACCCATTTAGAAAAGAGACAGGACAATGACAAAGAGATACAAGATCCCTTACCCCTGCCGCGGATGTGCATACCGGGCGGGAAGACCAAGTACCGCACAGCGCCGCACTTCGCCTGACCATAACCTCCCATAATCAACTTATACTTGAAAGACAGCCTTGTTGCGTCATCCTCCCCTCCCGAACCCGCCGTTTTCCCCCTTTTCAGCTTCTAAAATCTCAGTTTGAAACCCATCTCCCGAACTCTTCGCTCTCCCCAAAAAGCAAACATCAGTCCCTTTCCCTCCCCCCTCCAACCACCCCAAACAGCAACAGCACCCAAAAGTGGCTGTCCCCTTGCATCACCCATCCGCCAACCCCACAGTGCATCTCTCTGCATCTCCTGCAAAGACAACACACCATCCACTCACATCAAAAAACCAGGCAGTGCCAAATAGGTGTGTAGGCGCTTACACCCATTTTTAGCCGCCTGGCCCTCAAGAAGGGGCGGAAACCCCCCTCATTGGCCAAAACCTCATTGAAACCACCCGAATTGGTGTCAATCACGTGGATGGCATCTACCATCCAACCATTCAAACCTCATCATTTTGTGCACAAGCAGTTGTCTTACACCATTAAGAGCTACATCTTGGCAGGTACAGCCACCATGTACTCTTTTTTCGTTGACTCGGGTGGCTGTACCTCCACCTATCCGAATGCTGCTGCTCGGCCATGTTCGGGTAGGTATTTCGGGCGAGTTCATCACCTCTGAACAATATCGCGGGGAAACCGTCACATAGATACCCGGATGCTATTGTCAGGCGAAGCAACTTTGGCACAGGAAACAGACACCTTCTAAAACCACAATTTGGAGACGAACAAGGCAGATGGGGTAACTCGGGACGATCAAAAGTACACTACGTCAGAAACCTCTCCTTGCCGCTGGGACCTGCGCAAGCGCCTTTGGTCGATCAACTACTCAAGTACATTCACTCCCCATATGCACGCCGACAATCTGTGATACACGGATGCTGTAGGGACCCGAGGGAAATCATAAAATCCCAGGACCCGGCGGCGCCAAACATCAGGAGTCAAAAGTAATCGTGAAAAGTTCCGGCTTCTTATTCGCCTTTGGTATCTAACAAATCTCTCTGCGTGCTCAACTACATGCCCATTGCCCACGAAAAGCTCAATTTCTCAAAAACTCCCACCCGCAAAGTGCAAATTTTCATCCATAGTCATGCAAATTCCTGCCCATATCCACAATTAGTCCTCCATCATCATGGACAACCTATCCCACCGAGCACTGCCCCGCCCACAGGAGAACTAATTCCCAAGGGCATTAGGAGCGTAGTCGGGGCGGGCACGGCTCGACTTGATCACGTCCTGCACCTTCTTCTCAGTCAAGTCCCAGTCGTCAGGGCTGAGCTGAACAAGGTCGATTCCGTAGTGATTGGCAATGTCTGAAAGGGCCTCGTAGCTTCGTCTGTCGTAGACGAAACTAATAGAGACGCCAACACGACCAAAACGACCAGTACGGCCGATACGGTGAAGATAGGTCTCGTAGTCTGGCACGCCAGCGCCGGGGCCCTTCATCGGAATGTCGTAGTTGATGACCATGGACACGCTGGACACATCAATGCCACGAGCCAAGACGTTGGTGGTGATGAGAACCTTGGAACGACCGGAGCGGAAGTCGTCGAGGAGAGCATCACGGTTCTGGCCCTCGAAGGCACCGTGAAGGGCAGACACCTTGTGGCCATCAGCCTCCATGCGGCGCTGAATCTCGTTGGCACTCTCACGAGTCTATATTTGTTGGTCAGAAAGAGGATGATACACATTTTCTTGCCAGCGACTACTTACGCGGACGAAGATGACGGACGAGCCAATGGTCATGAGACCATAGAGCTTGCAAAGCACATCATATTTCTTGCCCTCGTCTGGGCAATCCATGTACATTTGAGAAATACCCTTGACTGTCAGCTCCGTGTGTCGGAGCTTGATCTCGTTCGCCTTGGGCGCAAACTGCTGCGCGAACCGGTGGACATTGTCTGGGAAGGTGGCGGAAAAAAGAAGAATTTGGATGGTCTTGGGGAGTAGACTATTTCCTGTCAGTGAGCTGCCCATTGCATCCGGGGATGGAAGATTCTTACGTCTTGACACGCACACACTGCTCACCGAGACCCTGCTGGTCCAACATGTTGTCCGCCTCGTCAATAACGAGTAGCTTCAGCTGAGACACATCGAACTGGCGACGTCTGATCAGGTCCATGACGGTGCCTGGAGTTCCTACCACGATGCTGGCCCTGACACCAGTCTCACGCGAGACTTCGCCGGGGATGGCGGCCTGCACGATCAAGTTCTCACAAAATTGACCGATTGTTTGGACGACGCCCTGAATTTGCCGAGCAAGCTCTCTGCTCGGAGCCAGAAGGAGAGCTTGAGGCTGTTGCGGCTTGGCGAGGTCCACGCGCGCCAGGCAAGTGAGAACGAAAGCAGCAGTCTTGCCGGTGCCGGACTGGGACTGAGCAATCATGTTTGTAGGAGGGTCGCTGATCATGAGAGGGAGGGCTCTCTCTTGGATCTTGGATGGCTTCTTGAAGTTCATAGCTAAAAGGCCATCGTTGATCGCCTTGGGGAGGCCAAGCTGCTCGAAAGACTGGACGGAGAAGAGCGGGCTTTCGGCATCATTTTGAAGGTCGGCGAGTTTGACCTCGACGTCGTAGGCGTTCTCGACGATGCCAACGCTATTGGCACCCTCGGTCGGGTCATCAACTTGGGGGGCAGCGCCCTCCTCCGGCTTGGAGATGCGGCTCGCGAGGTCCGCCATGGCTTCGACTTGGGTGAAAATTGGTTGAGGGGTAGAGAGACTGTGGAAATTCTCAGTTAATATACGCGTAAAACAGCGACCTAAGGTTGCCAGTAGAAGGGCAGGTGCAGGTGCCTGGGCGGAACTTTGTTGTGGAGGAAGACGAAACCAACTGGCGGTTGTGGAAACTGGCCCTGACCGCGAGTCGCAGATCACGTCCTTGCCGTCAAGGTTGTGTTCGCGACTGGTCGGTCGTAGAGATGCAGGAGCACTTACTGTGAGGGGAACGGGCTCGAGGTCGTCAGATCAGGTAGTTGAAATTGAACTGGATCAATGATGTTGACGGAAACCTGAGGTTCTAGTTGTTGTCGGATGGAAAGCTGGCAGAGAATATCACAAAGGAAGAAGAAGCCCAGCTTGGTAGGTATACACTTTCCGGAAGCCAAAGCAAGAGCGATGTGATGGTGGGGCTGTACCTGCAATTGAAGCTGCTTGGTTTGGCGGGGTAACTGACACTGGCGCTGGTGCCTGACAAGTTAGGCTTTACACCACCGTTTGACATGCTTTCAATCAGGGTCCAGCGTTAGCAGCTGCCTGCAAACACACGCAGAGGCTCTAACAGCAAGCATGGTTGCTTCCTTAAAGACAATGGAAACTCTTTTAAACATGGCATTGTTGCACTTATGTACATGAGACCGCCTTATTATCCAGGATTCGGTCTCTCCCGAATGTCTAGCCAGGGCCCAGACTAGGGTTATGGACTGCTTTGAAGCTACGTAAGCAGCTCTCTGACGGATATGTCTTCGATAGATATTACAGCATGCAACTGAAGAAGCAAGACGCTATTCCCAACTTCCGAATGGATGTCCATGTCCATGGTTCGCGAGCTGGTCTTGGTCGTCCCACTGCGCTTGGCATAGGGGGCTGCGCAGGGCGCACTGATGCTGCAAGCTGCATGGTTCGCTGGGGTACATTTATTTTAGCCACCTTACCTCACTGTGGAGGGGTCACCATCAACTCCGCGTGTTACTTCGCCAGGCCAGTTACCAGAATCCCTCATCCACCACCGCACACGAGTACTATTTTGACAGACGATGCGCGGATACCACGGACCTACCTCCATAAAATCCAAAAACTATCTTTTGCATACCCTCTCTTTGCTGCCTATCGTGCATGGTTTAGATTCGAAAACAGCTTTGTAGCGGTCTAGGAAGCGCAAGTGACACGCCGGAACGGAATCAGGAATCATGGCCGAAGTAGACGTTGCGCCGACCTTTGGATCGGAGCTCAAGGTTCGAATCCTAGATATATCGTCAATGGAGGACTGGCCAGTATTGTATTGGTATGCGTCAGGCTAACCACGGACGCTGTAGGATGGCTTCAAACCGGCGAATGCCTGGGTTGCTAATGGCATCGCCTGGCTCGACGATATCCAGTCCTTCTACCGTGAACGAAGTGCCATAGAGAAGGAGTACAGTGCCAAGCTCAATGCGCTGGCCAAAAAGTACTTTGAAAAGAAGGCGAAGAAGTCAACCAGTCTGAGCGTCGGCGATACTCCTACCATGACCCCTGGCTCGCTCGAGAGGTGCGTGCTGGACCACCCCTTACTTCCGGCTTCCCTCCCATACTGACGAATCGTTTCAGCGCATCCCTCACCACATGGACGACCCATCTTACGACGCTAGAATCTCGAGCCGAAGAACACGATCGGTACGGAAACGAACTTGTGACCAAAGTAGCCGATCCCCTCAAGGTCATCTCGGGACGATTCGAAGAGCTACGCAAGCGCCATGTCGAGTACGCCGAGAGGCTGGAGAAGGAGAGAGAATCATCGTATGCCGACCTGCGGAAGCAAAAGACCAAATATGATGCTGCTTGCCAGGAGGTGGAGAGCAAGCGGAAGAAGACCGAGTCCTCCTTCGACAAGGCCAAGGCACAGAGCTCTTTTCAGCAGCAAATACACGAGATGAACAACGTCAAGAATACCTACCTCATTGCGATCAACGTCACCAACAAGCAAAAAGAGAAATACTACCACGAGTACCTGCCCGAAGTCATGGACAGCCTCCAGGATCTTTCCGAATTCCGAACCATCAAGCTCAACTCTCTGTGGACCGTGGCTGCAAATCTCGAGACCAACATGCTCCAACAGAGCTTGGGGCAGGTTCAGCACTTGACCCAGGAGATCACGCGCAACCAGCCTCACCTCGACTCGATGATGTACATTAGGCATAACATGGGCGCCTTCCACGAGCCGGCGGACAAGGTGTTTGAGCCGAGTCCAGTATGGCACGACGATGAATCAATGGCCATCGACGACCCGGCCAAGGTTTATCTACGAAACGTGCTCAACAAGTCCAAGAGCCAGCTGGGAGAACTGCGCCGCGACGTCGACAAGAAGAGGCGTGAAGTAGAAGGATTGAAGCGGACAAAGCAGAACGTTAGGGATGGAAGGGAGCAGAAAGACGAGGTCACAGTTATTGCGCAGCTTTTTATGATCCAGGAAGATCTACACCAGGCCGACCGAAAGCGTCTTACAGCCGAGGTTGAGACATCAACCATCACCTCTGTCGTGGGTGATGTTACTCTCGGCGCTAGAAACCACAACTTCAAGTCGCAAACATTCAAAATCCCCACCAATTGCGACCTTTGCGGGGAGAGGATATGGGGTTTGTCCGCCAAGGGATTCGACTGCCGAGACTGCGGGTACACTTGCCATAGCAAATGCGAGATGAAGGTCCCAGCCGAGTGCCCAGGTGAACTCAACAAGGAGGAGCGCAAGAAGATCAAGCAGGAACGACAGGAGGCTGCTAACGCTCTGTTGAAGCCTAGCAATGGGCCACCGGATCATGTGGCGGAACTCCCTGCTCTCGGCAGGTCAGAGACGATCAGCTCGGTCAATTCGGGATACGCTGCCAGTGCGCAGCGGTCGATGACCTCTCCATCGGAGGAGACACCTCCCGAGATTCCCAGCGCTACGAGACCAGGCATTACGCCGGCAGCTTCGACGACGACTGTTAGGAAGAACCGAGTCGTTGCGCCTCCACCGGCGGCGTATATTAGCGAGTTGCCGGGTAGCACGCCCAGCTCCAATGGGTCAGCGGAGAAGAAGGGGAAGATGCTGTACACGTTTGAGGCAGGGGGTGATGGGGAGTTGTCGATTCAGGAAGGACGGGAGCTGGTTATATTGGAGCCAGATAGTATGTTGCCTGCCTTGTCCTGTTATTGCTCTGCTTACTAACAGCATTCACAGCCGGCTCTGGATGGATCAAAGTACGAGCAGGTTACAAAGAAGGTCTCGTGCCAGCAAGTTATGTTGAAATGTTGGCGGCACCACCACCGTCCCTTGCGCCGCAGCACACGGGTCAGTCGGCGAGACCACCATCTACCTACTCTAACAGTGGTTCGTCGATCGGTGGCACGATCAAGAAGAAGGGCCCTGCTGTGGCGCCGAGGAGAGGGGCGAAGAAGCTCAAGTATGCCGAGGCGTTGTATGATTACACGGCGCAGAGCGATGCGGAGCATAGCATGACGGAGGGGGAGAGGTTTGTGCTTATCAAGGAGGACCCAGGGGATGGGTGGGCGGAGGTGGAGAAGGGGGGTGTGACGAAGAGCGTGCCGGCGAGTTATATCCAGGCTGTTTAGTGGATGGTCGGGGGGGTGATTGAGTATAGTGGGAATGAGTGGTGATGGGCAGGATACCGCGGGGGGGTGGTAGTGGGCTTCTTTCTCCCAAGATGGGGGTTGTACATAGATTCTGTCGTATATCCACATGCCTGGTGGTAGATGGCGATGAATTGGTGGGGACGGTTGTGTCAGAGGGTAGCATGTTTATAGTGTCTGGGACCTGGATCGGCTCTAAACAGCTGGGATTATATTGACTTTTATGCTGTTTCACCACGACAACCACTTGATGTGAAGCAAGGGTGGCACGGTGAACGGCTGTCCCCTGAAGGGCGCAAGATCTTGGCAATGACGTCCTTCCCGCCTTTGGTGCGTGCATGACCCCACGGCGCCACTGCCAGTTCCCGCTGACACCCCTGACGGGCCCAAAGCTTTGACTTTGACGACTTCCATCAACAGTTCGGATGATCTTTCCACCTAGATATATATCTAGGTATGGAATGTGGAAACAGCTGATCTTTTCGGCCCCTCTTGATGGACAACATCGGCCGAGATTTCACGAGCCCTCTTACCTTACTTCCTGCCCTACCTATGTTTGTAAGACAGCAGCAGCAGCAGCAGCAGCAACAGGAGTTATGAGCTGAAAAGACGGATGGGGTGTGTGTGTGTGTATGTGTGTGTGTGTGTATGTGTGTGTGTGTGGCTGCACATGGAAGCGATCTTGATCATGGCGCACATGGAAGGTCACTGCGTAACGGTTGCTCATTATGACTGAGGTGACTGATTGGGCTTTCCGTTGGCAGGTGGGGAGATGTTGGGGAGGTGGTGACTGTTTGGCAGGTAGGTTGGTGTCCGTTGCCTGTGTCGTTTGGTTGCAAGGTCAACTGGAGTGAGTGCAACTGCTTCCGGCCTTTTCACCTTCACATTTCTCCTTCCCGGTCGAGGACAGCACCATACTCCTTCCTTCTTTTATTCTTGAACCAGCAGGCCAGTGCTTCTTCAATAACCCCAGAGTCTGTCTGCTTTCTTGCTTTCTTGCTTTCTCTCTCTCTCTCTCTCTCTCTCTCTCTCTTTCTCTTTCCAAAACATTCGCTTTCACCCTCCTCGACTCTCTGAAAAAAAAACAAGATATTCTCTCGTTCAACAACGCTACTTTTGATACCGCCCTTCTCGATTTTGGAACTCTTTTTCTATTTTCTTGACTCTTTGATTACCACCACCCATCTTTAATATCGAAACGTTGGTCTCCTTGTAGCAACCCGCATTGAGACATTCTTCACACTTGTCAATCTTCCCCGGATTTTCTTGCTGCAAGCCAAGATGAGATCTCTCGCATTGGTGCCGGTCTTGGCAACGATGCTCCCAAGTCTTGGGACAGCCACCCCGTCGCCGACAGTTGCTCAACCTCCCACCAAGAGGGGTAGCCTGCCGGCTGTGTCTGTTTCCGGGAATGGTTTGTCCTTACCACTCCTTTTTCAAAATGGGGACCTTGGCTGATGTTGATCATAAAACAGCCTTTTGGCAAAACGACAAGCGGTTTTACATTCGCGGAGTGGACTACCAACCGGGCGGTTCCTCGGCGATGGCGGACCCCCTGGCGGACACGACGATTTGCAGCCGCGACATTGACCAATTCAGAAAGCTGGGCATCAACACGATTCGGGTCTACATTATTGACAATTCTGCTAGGCACGACGAGTGCATGGGCAAGCTGGCGGATGCGGGGATATACGTTATTGTCGATGCCAACAATCCGCTGTACAGCATCAACCGGTACGACCCGGCGCCGTCGTATAACGCAAAGTATCTGCAGAGCGTGTTTGCGACGATTGACGAGTTTGCCAAGTATGAGAATACACTGGCGTTTTTTTCGGGGAATGAGGTGGTGAATGATGTGGTGAATTCGACGCTGGCGGCGAGGTATGTGAAGGCGGTGACGAGGGACATGAGGAGGTATATTGGGGAGAGGGGGTACCGGAGGGTGCCGGTGGGGTATTCGGCGGCGGATGTGGGGAGTAATAGGAGGCAGCAGGCGGATTGGATGAATTGTGGGAGTGAGGATGAGAGGTCGGATTTTTTTGCGTTTGTAAGTTGTCTGAGCGGGTGTTGTGGGAAAGGGGTGGTTTGGTCGCTGACGTGAACAACAGAATGATTACTCGTGGTGCAATTCGGACTTTCGGACGGCGGGGTGGGACCAGAAGGTGAAGAACTTTTCGGATTATGGTTTGCCTATTTTGTGAGTTGGTTTTCGGATTGGTGGTGGTGGTGTGGGATGATGCTGACGATGTGTAGCCTCTCGGAGTATGGCTGCCTTACCAATGGCCGGGACTTTGGCGAGGTTGCTGCTCTGATGAGTGACAAGATGACGAGTGTGTACTCTGGAGGTCTGATGTACGAATACGCCATGGGGGATAATGGCTACGGCATTGCAAAGATTCCTAGCGTCAAGGGCTCCTCAGTTCAGAAACTGGATGGGTTTGAGAAGTTTGCCTCTGCTCTGGCTGCCAACCCACCCCCCGAAGGAGATGGAGGATTTGTCTCGACGACACACGCCAATGCCTGCCCTACCAAGGATGCCAACTGGCTCATTGACACGACTTTGCTGCCAGCTATCCCTGAGCAGGCCAAGATGTTGATGATGGAGGGGGCTGGATCTGGACCCGGTCTCGGTGGTGACGGGTCTCAGAATGCTGTGGATGCTGGCACTAGCAGTGGCGACGCGGAGCAAGGTTCTGGGACGGTGACTTCGTCCAGCACGCCCAAGGGGAGTGAAAATGCGGCGCCGGCGACATCAACCCCGGCCAACGCTAGAGCCGTGGTCAAGATCCCGTTGGTTCTGACGGGAATGGTGGTTGTGTTGACATTGGGTGGTTCTTTTTTGCTCTGATGACAAGGAGACTAGGGTTGATGTGCATGTATCTGGCATGCTTGTTTGTGTATCGATTGATTTTTGACTGAGACATTGCTAGGTTATGGTGGTGGGAAAGGCATCTTGACGTTTCTTTTGAACTAGAAAAAGGTTTTGGGACATTATGGTAGTTTTTAATCAACTTTTCTTTTTGTTATTATGTGCTTCATCAAGGCCAGTCGCTGCTCTTTGCTAAAAAGTCCGCCAGCTTTTCGAGGTACTCCTTGTCTATTTGGTCGAAGCCGTTTTCGACTGTGCAGTCAATGTCGATTATCCCTACCACGCCCTTGCCCTCGACCATGATGGGGACGACGATTTCGCTTTTGCTGGACGAGTCGCAGGCGATGTGACCTGGGAACTGCTCGACGTCGGGGACGAGCTGAGTTGTCTGGGTGGCGGCTGCTGTGCCGCAGACTCCGCGGCCGAAGTTGATGGTTTGGCAGGCGACTTTGCCTTGAAACGGACCCAAGATGAGGCGTGGTTTTGTGGGAGGGGAGGTGTGGTCGTGGACGTAGAAGCCGGCCCAGTTTACCGAGGAGGAGGGGGAGGGGAGGGAGCGGTAGAGGTGCCAGAGGAGGGAGGAGGTGTTGGAGAGGTTGCTGCCCTTTGTCAGCTCGATTTTTCAGTACGAAGTCTGTGGTGATATTTCATGGTGATATTTCATGGTGGTATTTCGTGGTGGTATTTCATGGTGCTGATGATGTTTGGGGTTTTGAATGTGGATGAGATACGGGGGCGGGGGTAAAGAGGGGGGTGGGGTCCAC